GCGGGACACATACCAGAGGGTCTTTACGGAACGCTTGACAGCCGTAGTCGTAACGGGACGCTTAACAGCCGTAGTCTTAAGAGTTAGTCATACCAGCCGTAGTCTTAAGTCCCCTAAAATATGAGATTTGTTTGACTTTTGTGACTCCGGTTAAGCCCTACTGGGTATCCCGGAATAAAGAATTATTTTTTTTAAAAGAGCGAATCACAATCTACAGAGGTCAAGCTACTCGTCCAAACCGGTTGCACGACTTGCAAAGTTGCAAGGTGACTATAAATATATTTAGCTGCAAGTCTGCAACTCAAGGCTCCGTTCAAGCAAGTTGCACTTTTTTTTTTGCAAAACAAATAATTGTTATTTACAAACCTTAATAAATCGTCAGAGTTAAGTAGAGAGTGGTCTCAGTGGTGACTGGAGACTGTCAGACTGGGGACTAAAAATTAAATTAATATGTACACGGCACAACAGCATAGAGATTAGAGAGAGACAGAGGAGAAACGTAAATAAATACATCTCTTTTTTTGAAGAGTGGGAAGACACGGTGGAGTGAATTGTGGAGTGTGGACTGTGGCGGCGTGTGGCCTGTAGGCTGTAGTCTGTAGAGTCAAATGTGGTGTTGTGGACTCGATCACTCAACTGTGGACTGTGGACTGTGGACAAGTCACAGGACTGTGGACTATGAGTATGGATTATGGACCGTGGACTTATTGAGTCTCAAACCAGATTACGAGACTCGTAAACGTAAATAATATTCAGAGAAAAGAAAAGAAAAACGTTCTTCAATAATAATAATAAAAATCTATTCTCACAATATCTTTTTATATATATAAATATTACGTTTACCTTTTTTGTTTTCACTTTTCAACCTGTTTTCCCTTTTTTAGAGTCAAAGTAATTATTGTGGCGAGCGATTGTTGTTCCACAGACTACAGTATTTAGGCTACGTAGTTTGGATTAAATCGGTCACCACCCACCCTTTTGGGTAGAATTTTAGGATTCAGGGCCAGGCCCAGTATTATATTTTTATAAATATATGTAAATATCACCTTACATAGCCTTCGCCCTTCAATTGAACACCTTTTTATTTTATTTAAAAAAAAGCAAAACGACCAAAAACAAAACGTTCAAATTTATCTATTTTTCTGTTCAGCGTATATTTAAAAACGGTCTGTTGCAAACGGTGCTTTCGGGCGGTTCGGATGTGCTACTTTGTTTTAGGGTTTATAATTATTAGGGCTCAAAGCAATGGTGGCGGCCACTGGCGGGGTCCCTGAGACTTACAAATTACAGTATATATCGGCATTGAACCCTACTACAGAAATTGTGAAATCCTGTGTGAAGTAGTGTTCGATTGATAGGTACACCAATGGAATCACGGAATTTACCGGTTCTACCCAATTTAGCGGTTTTTTTTTTCTGCAAAAACAACAATATCTCAAAATGTAAACGCTTGTACCTTTTTCGATTTTTTCAAACATGTTATATGATATTATATATTTGCTAATGAAAATGCATTCAATAGCCATCACATGCAGAATAACACATCAGTAATATAAGTAGGGTATGTATATACTATGTATGTATGTATGTATAAAATATGTATGAATGTGTGTATGTACTATGAATATATGTACGTATTAAGTATGCATGTATGTATTAAGCATGCATGTATGTATGTATAATATTTTTATGTATGTATTAGGTATGTATGTATGTATGTTTGTGCTATGTATGTATGAATGTATGTATGTTCTATATATTTATATATGTATTATGTATGTATGTACGTATTAGGTATGTATGTATGTATGTACTATGTATGAACTATATATTTATGTATGTATTTATTAAGAAGGTATGTAAGTACGTACTATGTATGTATGCATGTATGTATTATGTATGTATGTAATAGGTATGTATGTATGTAATACATATATCTATATCTATATCTATATCTATATCTATATTTATATCTATATCTATATATCTATATATATTTATATATATATATATATATATATACATAAAACCCTAAAATTACTAAACCCTAACTATATATATATATATGTGTGTGTGTGTATATGTAAATTTTTGTAAATTTATAGATACCAGAGAAATAATAGGTAACTTTAAAACATTTTCTATTTTTTAAAATACTTCAACTAATTAAACCCTAAAACCCGTAAGGTGCCGCCAGAATTTGGTTTTTACGATTTTGGTTACAATTTTCTGCTTGAAAGTGTATAAAATTACGGTAAAATTGAAATTGGAATACGAGAATGCTGTCCAAGCATATAAAAACACTATTATACAATAAACCAATATAATCATTGTCCTACGATGGATACCACATCATAAAATTCACTAATGTACAGCTGACCAATTACCTCAAGGCCTCGGAATAATTTTACATTCTCAAACCCTAGGATTGTCGTAATTAAAGTTATATTGTTTGATATTTATATCGTGTTTTGGGATTGTTGTCTGATTTATTATTTTAAATATGTATTTATTTGTGTGTATTTGGGGGGTTTTATCATTTATGTATGTATTTGGGGGGTTTTATTTTACGTACCTATGTGTATTTATTTTGTTTTTTAGGCCGCTTTTGCCAACTTCGGAAAAATATACGAAAATACTGTCTAAAAACTATGGCAAAGTATTTTTGTATAATTCTTTTGGAATATAGGACATGAAAATTTCCGGAACATTTTGAAATATAGCGTCGGTTATATTTGAAATTATGGATGAATATTCGCTGAGTGTTTCAATTTGAACAGTTGGCAAAAGCGCGAACAAACAAGCAATTATCCCTGAGTTGTTCCAAAATAAACAAACGGATTTTATTGGACCTTCGTTTCCAAACATTTCTATTGAATCTCATATATCGTTATGAAATTTTGTCGGTTTCGAATCCACGTCAGTTTGTTCGACACTTTTGTAGAATATTTGCCTGTTGGTTACGTATATGTACGCATATATTCGCGACCATAAATAAGCGAGCCATATGCTGCTTACTTACTTGCAACTGGCATTCTTCGCAATTTTCATCGTAGCCTGTTTCCCCGCACATACTACCCAAGTCCCAACAAAGCGTAAATACAAGATGAAGTTATAATAAAACTGGAGAATACGTACGTATACATAATTTATATATTTACAAATAGAAGTGTCAAAAACTCAAAAAATGCATATGTTTTGTGAAATGCTTTTTCGCGCTCAAAAGCCAAAGAGTATTCCGAAATTAGAATGCTCTTTCTTCATTCATTTTCAAAGAAATATACAACAAAATGAAATACTGCTCCAATATTTTTTATGTCGTAAAATGCAAAATTTGGAATTGGCAAAAGCAATAGAATTGACAATTTATGAAATATTGAAGTTTTGAAATACTGAAAAATGAAATTAAAAATTCCTTCAATATTTTGAAATTATGAAGAAAATATGGGTATGGATTTAGATACCGAAATAAGGTGTTTTGTTCTTTGAGTGTATTTATCATCGCAGAATTTTCAAAAGATGGCAAAACCGGCCTTATTAGTTTTGGTTGTTTTTTAAACAAAACGAAACAAAAAAATATCAAACTCACGGTTTTATTATTATTTAGTGCAAAAAAAATTTGCAGCATCCTTTCGTCCTACGGACTCGTCCGTTCTCCCTTAAATTTTAAATACACTTCTATTAGAGGGTCATAATCTTCTCCAAGAAGCCCAGACTCCAGACTCCAGTCTCCAGTGCCCCAGTCCAAAAATCAGAATATCTCTGGGCCTGAGAGGCTGAGCCCTGAGGGCTCAGGAGTGACGACAGTCGGTGACGACAGTCCGCCGTCCACTCGCCGTCACAGATTTCACCTAAAGTGTTCTTTTTAAAAAAATAGATCAAATAAAAGCAATATACGGCACAAAATTTTACAACTATCAACTACCACAAAAACTATATGAATTAACTACTAGTTATATGTCGTACAGCACACATATAACGTCTATCGTTTTGTTGTTTACTGACTAATAGTTGAGTTGGTTACTGTGCCGGATTTTCTTTTTTTTCTTTTCCATTCGGGGGCTGGAGAACAAGACACGTCAGAATTTGAAACTTTCCTAAAAACTGCCAATATATATGTTGGCACGAGGAAGAGTAGAAGGGGACAACCATGTGCAAAATTTTAAAATTGCTCAAAAATGCCAATACTGTTGCAAAAAAAGCAATTATTTTCAAAAAAGCTAAAACCAAAATGTTGTTACAAGGAGAATTCGAGGACTGAGGAGTTGCTAAAACTTTAGAATTCATAAAATATGCCAAAATATGCTGTTCAAGATGAGAACTATTTAGAAGGTGAAACGACGAGGAGTCTCGGAGGAGGTCAAGTGTCAAATTTTAAGGTTCCCCAAAAATAAATTTTAAAAATAGAAGCTTTTTCTATATTTATATACAATTATAATTGGTTCGATTTCAAAAAACGTTTTTTATGTTACTCGATACTTTTTTTCCAGCCTAAAAATATAAAAAATAGTCGCCTATGATTAAAAGATAAGGACCAACAGCATTACACTAATACAGGTTAGAATATCGCGTTATATCGTGTTACAGTGGTTATCTTGACCTTCAAAAGAACATGCTATCCTTACAGTTATAATATAATTGAAGTATTGTCCGTTTCAGATTATTAATACGTCCAGTAGTTTAGCTAATCTCCGAATTTGCCGGACATTTGCCCGGTCGGCTGTTCACAGTGCGGGCTCTTAATAAATTTTTAGTCTTTCAACATTCTGCGATGTGTTAGAAAACAACGTTTGAGTCAAACAAGTAACTTATAGTAAGAATACAAATCCTCCGAGCATCAAATACTCGTTTAGATGTATAGTATATCATTTAGGAAATCTCACACACACCGGAAATTTGGATTTTAATGTAATACGACGCCTGTTGACAAACTATTTGGAGTAGAGGAAATACATTTCGGTATGTTGTGTTTCCATTGATTTATTATGAAATCAGTTATATCATAATCCTTCATCCCGTGTGTTATCGTTTACGTTTGCATTTATAGCGTCTTCTCGCGAGCTGTGTAACTTGTGCGCACCCAGATACATTGGCCGCGCGGCATAGTTGCCTAGTCGCCCCTCGCTGTCTCGCGAGTGTATGTTGACCCAACAGCCACTATACATTTTGTTGAAGCATCGAGAAAGAATCTCATCTCCAATGGAGAATCGTGCCTTGATAGAGCCAACAACTCTTCCAAGGTTCACGAATTTAGATTTATATATGATATTCTCAGGTGCATGATACCAGTGAGTCACAACGGGGTCGAAGTCGCGGTGGAGCACAATTTGATGCTCTACTTCTAAACCTCTCGGGGATAAAGCAGGTTTGAGCTTGATGGTGTATATATCACTGTCATCAGTAATTCGAAGCTTGCCTCCGTTATTCATTGACACACTGGTAGGCACCTCATTGTTAAAATTCCAATGCGGGGGATTATTATGGAGCAATCCAAAAAAATCATCTTCATGCTCTTGCCATTTAACGCGAGAAACATATCGAGCATCAACGGCGTTTGGATCACTATACTTTGCGGTGGCCAAAGCATATTCATCCGCTTTCGCTTTCAACGATTCGTGCGAGAAGGGTGCTCCATCTGCAGTCAGTAATTGTACCTTATCCCACACCAATGCCATGAATTCGATGGGCATCGATACCAAGATCCGGCGGAATAGATAATGATTATTCAATGGTGACATAGAAATGTCCATCCGGGAATGTCGCACACTCGTGCGCAGACTTTTATCGTAATCCCACGGTTGGAAGTAGAATTTCCGAAGTTTGTCATTTGTAAACAAGGCCATATTGTTGCCTCTGTGGTCCCAATCCCCACATATAGCAAATGTAATTGCTACCCATGTGCACAAATTGTCCATATCGAACCACTCGCGCAAGACATCCGGTAATTCATCATCGGTGGCTTTGTTAATAGCGAGCATCATTTCCACTAGCATGTTATGGCCATCATTCCCTTCATAGTCCATCACCTCTCTGAACAAAGTATCATTGTACTCAGGATCTGTATTTGGCAAGAGGCGAGGATCGTATTCAATATCCCAGTGCACAAGTTTGTAAAGATTGAATTTTCCGTGTCCACGCCAATTACGTCTGTTCACAAAGCCTTCGTTAACAGGCTCGAAATTGATATATATTCCATAGTCCAGATTTTTCACACTGCCATCGGTTCTTTCAATTGATACAGAGAGTTCCATGAAATTGGTCCTCAGTGAATTGAAGCTTGGCACCTCCTTAAATGCATCAAACAATATCTTTGACCGTAATCCACTTTTGTCAGACGAGTCTTTCTTTAGTACTAGCATCTCCAGATCCCGCCATCTCTCTTCACCTTCGACGAACTTCAGTGTGAATGATTTTAGCTTGGCTGCTCGGGTTGCACCACCATGTTGTGACACGATCACATTTCTATATACATCCCCCAATTCGTTATCATGTATTACCAACTTGCAAATGACTTTTGCAGCGTTGTCGTCCAATTCATTTATGTTGTCGAGCACGTCACTGAAAGTGATTTGTGAATTATTTTGCTCATTCGGACAAGTGAGATCTAACTGTGTGATCGATGCGGCGGGCAAATCATCGCTATATATGTATCTGGGCTCAAAGTATTCAGTCGGGCGTGTAAGTGACAATATTTCACGTCTGGGGGAAATAAAATCTTGCAGCACAGTAATCTCTACATTGTTGGTAAATGCCTGTTGGTGACAGGCTATCTCGTATATACAATACAATAACACACTTGTTGGAAGTACCTTTCGCAGCACATTGGTACGATTTATAACCATGTCGTTGATTTATTTACGTTCTTTATGAACCTCAAAAGCAGCCATACTTGTAGTCTTAAACACCTGCAATATTAAGAGAGCTCATTATATTTACATTTTTTTTAAAAGCGTGTTGTCCTATACACAAAATATGTATTTTATGTTAATTTCTTGATTTAAAAAAAAGGGTATTTGTGCACCATACTACGTGGATATTTGCTCAGACAGTGGTACATAAGTGTATTTTGAAAATGAAAATAGTGATGTAAAAGCGGCCTAGGTTATTGTTTACTCTTATAACAATTTTTAAAATCCATACTCGGTAGCCGCGAATAGCGGCATAGCCACCTCTTTTTTTTTAACGTGTGTGTGTGTCCTGTGGTTGCGACTTGCGACTTGCGAGTTGTTAGTTGTGTGAGTAATATTATATCAGTGTTATTAAAATAAAATAAAACATCACAACAAGAGACTGATGAGAGACTGAGAGAGTCTCAGTCCTGAGAACCTCTACTTTAGAGAGTATACCTCTACTCTCACTCTCTCTCTACTACAGAATACTGCATAGAGTACAATAAACTGCTTACACATCATGTCACACGTGTGATGCTGGATACATCATACAGCATGTGTGAGCACTGAGATGAGCAGTTCGTTACTTGTTACTCTTCTCGTCACTCTTCAAACATTTTGTGTGATGCACTGATGATGTGACCATGACTACGAGATTCTATATACATACGACTCCTAAATCCTAATGACCGACGTCCGGGATGCTCCAGCATCGTCGGGCCTTCAGCGTACAGTCGTACACTGTACAGACTACAGAGTACAGACTACTACAGCGTGGGTCCTGTTTGAACGTTTCGGTTAGGAAACTCTGAAAGCAGTGAAAATCACTGAAATGCAGTGAAAGCCACTGAAAGGTCGTGAATTTTTACTAGTTTTTTTATTAAAGTTTACTTAAACAAAATCATGGTTGAGAGTTGAGACTTGAAAATAAAAATATTACTCATTTCGACATGAGGGCTGTTTTGGTTTCCGACAACATTAAACATATATATCGGGATATCGGTTAAAAAAACGACACATGATCAGGTGCACGTGATGTATTTAAAATAATGTATTAATTTTTAAAAACAATGAGTTTATATAAACAAAGCAATGACAAAATAAAATGCATTATTGTATTTGAAACGAAAAAACAACAAAAAAACAATAATTTAAATTTAAAAAATCTATATTGGTATGTACAGTCGTTTTCTATTCAGATTTTCGAAAGAGTAGACTGATTAGAGTAGAGGGCTAGAGGGTACTAAATAGACAAAGAATTGAAGCTCTACTCTAAGGGGGACAGTAAAAATAACTATCAATCCATACATACCACCTGATGACCAGAAGCCCAGAACACTACTCTGGTAGGGTAGAGAGGGACAAGAGTAGAGAGAGTAGCCAAAGATGAAACGTCAAAGCCCCGAACTCAAAACGGCTGCCTCATGCCTCCCGTGGATGCTACATATGCTCAACTCAGAATCCCAAAGACCTCTGTGATGAGGATGAGGTCCTCATATTTATAAAAGATACAATATACATGTAGGTATGTATAGATATGTACTTATATAGATATATCTTTCTATATATATACCTATATCTATATCTATATATATG